AAAAAAAAAAAGCAAATATTTTAAAATGCTTTTATTATATACTTTACACTGAGTGCTTCAGAAAAGAATATAATTACAATGATTTCAAAATGCAATCTTTGGAGTCAATAAATATCCTTTAAAATTATACTCAAGCAATATCTAGAAATGTATGCAGACACTTAAGTCAGCTAACAAATAAGTAAAATAACTATATAAACTGTAAATCTCAGGGAAGAGGAACATGCATGATCAGTTAAGTCACTTTGCCACCGTGTTCTTGTAAAAACATGATTCACATTTGTTTCAATCACATATACATTCACTCCAAGGGTTAATTAGACTGCTGATGCTAAGAAGGTAAAACTATGATCTTTGTGACCTTAAAAGAAAATTCAGTTTAATACAAAGAAATTCAAGAAGAAAATTTCAGGACCCTTGATCAGAGGCTTTCGATACTTGTGGCACTACTCGGGTGCACACAAAAGTTCCAGGAAGGCTAAAAAGAGTGTTTCCCATTGAAGATATGAACAGGGAAATGGGCGAACTAGGCATTCTATAAACTAGCTAGCCATCAAGAAGTTACCAATAAAGGATTCATGTTAGTAACTAATCATGCTTTAAAAAGCCTTGGCCAATGTTACAGGAACATAACATTGAGAGTAACATTTATGAATGCAAGCATAATTGGTTTTTCGCCTTCTATAGATAGTCATCTTTGAAATGTTAAAAGTGAGTCCCAACTGTGGTTCTTCCGAGAAGCTGCAGGTGCACTTGGGGTGGTCTACTGATTTACCTTCTCAAAGTATTCTTTGGAAGCAGTCGGATGTGGCTTGATCTGAAAATACCAAAACATTAGGCAACTGACTTTTAAAGTGACTAGAAAGCTATTTTTCACCTAAAGTTCTTTGACTTTTTCAAGATTGGCCTATTTCCTTTAAAATACAAGGATGTAAGTTATGTGCAGACTGCAAGACCCCTGGTCCCACCCCCCACCACTCAGCAGCTTCACCCACTTGCACCTCATCTGCAGCCCTCCTCCAAGGGTGGGCTCCTTCTGTGGATATTTCCGGCCAGCAACCCTGAGGCAGCGAGGACCTCACTGCTGGGATCCCACTGCTTTTGGAAAAGAAACCTACCGTAGGAGAATCCGGCGTCCAGTTTGCCGGGCAGACTTCTCCATGGACTTCCACAAACTGGAACGCCTTCACCAGGCGGAGGGTCTCCTCCACACTTCGGCCCACAGGGAGATCATTGACACTCAGATGCTTGATGACTCCATTGGGGTCAATTATGAAGAGGCCTCTGCGTCAGAATTGATCCCCATTAGTATCTCGCCAGTACCAGAGCTAAAAAGAGTCTAACTTCTATCCTCTTCTGTCTTTCATTCTCCTTAATAATGCATTTATTAAGCTTTAGCATACGCTTAAAAACAGGGTTTTCATTGTTACACAAAAAGCTTATCATCACTTATTGACAGATCCTTTTACAAAGGCAGGACTAGACCAGGCCACCATGGAAAACATTTACAAATGTGACCTGAATGTCACACGGTATCTAAAAGTCACACAGAGCAGAGACTTCTTTACTTATTAGTGACTTAGCAAGCATTCTTTGTGCTTGCTGTGTCAACTCTTGGCAAGGAACCATAGGCAAACAGAAAGGGACAAAGATTTGTTTTATCTATATTCAGTAAATACTTATAAAATGAGTGAATTCTTGGGCGAAGTGGGGAAAATCCCATGGAAGAGTCTTTGCAGAAAGAACTAAGTCAGAAAGAACGCAGGGCAGACATCTAAAGGGAAACCAAGCTGTAATGCGATGACCTGCCCTGTGGTCTGTGGTCATCTTCTGCACAAGTGTTGATGTCACCAGGACATATGCAGATATGTTTAACGCACAGGTTTTAACAGTCTGTCCTAAAGGGGTGTGGCATTCCAAGTGTTCACTACTCTGGGAAAAGGGAGGTTCCCTGGGCCTGGCCCTTAGAGGGCTGGCTAGGCTTTGAGGCTTAACAGGTTCTGGTGTGTGCTCCTGGAGAGTGGAGCCAAGCTGGAGTCCACGATGCAGACACAGATGCAGAGCTAGGGTGGAGCAGGGCCCAGACTCCAGAAAGAAAGCCTTATCTTACAAGCCAGACTTGGCTCTTCTCCCTTGTCAGTCCTAACAGTGAAATCAGTAGGGACATAACTGCCAAATTAGCAAGACCCAACAGGGAAGGATGCTGGGAGGAAAAAGCCAGCACTCTTTTTCGCCTTCTCTTGCCAGCACTGTCAAAGGCAGGCTGAAGTTTATTAAAGGAAGACGGTAATGTCCTTGGAGTACAAAAGGCCCACGGTCCAAGGTGGCTCTCAGAGCTGCAGTTCTAGGTGTGACACAAGAGGAAAGCAGGCCAGAGGTCAGCTACGAGACAGGGCAGGTGAGCGGGTCCAAGCGGGCCCCCAGCAAAACCGACAGGCGCATCAAAGTGGGATCCTCGCCCGCTTCCTGGAGGTAAAGTTCTGCTCCATCTCTCCTCCACTCAGCAGCCATCGAGATGCTGCTTCTAAGGCCTAAGTTCTCATCCCTCTCAGGCAGGCTGTGTTTGAATGTGGGACTGGGAAAGACAGAAAGCTTTCACACTCAAAGGACTGACGGTCTCACCACAGAATGAAGGACAGATATGACATCCTGGGACAGGGGTCATAACAGCTATCAGGACCTGTGCTAAAATCATTAGCTGCTTCACTTTATTTAGTTATCACAACCAACCTGGGAGGTACATTCTCACTTTAGTTATGAAAAAATTGGGACTCAAAGAGGTTAAATAACTTGCCCAAAGTCATACATCTATAAGTAGATGAGTTAAAAAAAAAAATTTTTTTTTGAACTCTGGCTGTTTTTGATTCCAGAGCTTTGAGATCTTATCGTATCTACTCCTGCCCTGCTAGCCCCCTTTCTCCAAACATGCCAGGACCGTGCCCCCATGACAGCGGCTCCCACATGGTTATGGAGAGTGGGGCAGTGTGGCCATCAAGGCACGAGATCCTCCTTTAGAAAGAGACGCGGGTGGTGCAGGGGACAAACACGATGAGGCCATTTCTGAAAGACGGCCAACCCTTGCAGCAGGCTTACTAAAAGGTTAAAATTAAGGAGTTTGGAAATGGTTTCAAAATGCTTTACCAAGGTCTCTCTAAATCCCCTAAGAAGTGGGATGATGCTAAACATGAAAAACAATGTTCAGTTCCTAGGAACAGGATTTTACCTCAGAGCAAGACCAGGACCTTCCAACAGCACGCCGTAGTCTCGGGAAATCTGTTTAGTCAAATCTGACAAGAGTGCGATGTTCATGTGGCCCAAACCGCCATTCTAATGAAAATGCAAACATGATGGTTATTATGTGACCTCTCACAACGTTCTGGGCCAGGTAACATGATGCCCGAGACCAACACGATGGCATAAGTCGCAGTAACTGAGCACCAGCAACGCCCAGCATCGCCCTAAGCTCTATTCCTCCCTCTTCCCAACCATCCTGAAGTAGGTACTACGGTCATCGCCACTTTATAGATGAGGACACTGAGGCACACAAAGGTTAAGTCACTTGCCCCAAGTCACAGCTACGAAGGGACAGGTGCAAGATTTAAACCCAGCTAGTACTACTGACTTTCTTTTTTTAATTCTTGAAGTAGTCTTTTAGTAGATTAATTTCTGAGACACAAAAATGAAAAAGTGTTAAAAAATACTCTGAATAACTTGATATTGCTAGTCCAGCAGCATAGCTAGAAATTTTGATTTCCAGCTCACTTCCAGAATCACAGCTTGATTCTTCGAAGCAAGTTTTTAGGCAAGAACACTGACCATGCCGAACACTGAAGTCAGAAGCTAACCACCCCACCAGCCATGCTTGTGGGTTCTACAGGATGCTGGCAGGAGGGGAGGCAACAGACCCCAGCTGTGCTCCCTGCCCTGCTGAGCCTGCTCTCCGTTAGTGTTTGTACCTTGGAAAACACAAGTGCAGTAAGCAGTAAATATGTGTGCAATGCCCAGGGACATGTGGACAGAGCTTAACAGAATGTGCCAGTAGGTTAGCGCCTATGCATAGCCCATTTCAGACTAGTCATGCTTTGACACCTTCTGGGCTGGTCTTTCATGGTACCTTTTTAGTTCTGAAGATCAGAAGTGCAAAGGTGGGTCAATGATGTGCGTACCTTCCTCGGAGTGTTTATCCAGGCCAGATGGGTGAAGTGGGAATCCACGGAAACGGCAACAACTTCACAGTTCACGTCATGAAATTCATTGGCTTTGTCGCTAAAAGCAATAATTTCCGTAGGACACACAAAGGTGCTAAAGAGAAAGGGCAGAAATGCTCTTCAGAGAATTTAAAAACGATTTAAAATTTGAATAGGTAGTCTAAAAACTGGTTCAATTTGCTTAAAGGTGAAAAAGGCAGAACAGCTAACCATCCTCACCTTTCTATTTAAGAATCTTATTTAAAAAAATGGGGGTGGTGAGGGAAGAGGCATATTCTAAGAATAAACAAATATTTTATTTAAATAAAGCAGCTTTAAGAGAAAGCTCATTTTATTATCTTTACTTTTCTCATTTTCCTCCAGATCAGTGAAAGCTTCCTCATAGACTGGCTTATAGGAACCATTGCTCCAGAGCACATAAAACAGAGTCATACTAAAATCCTACTGCATTAAAAAGAATGCCACTCCATCCTCTAAATTTGTCATTTGTAAATTAACTACACTTGCAGGCTGTATTAATAAAGCCCCCAGTGATAAAAGCTCAGAAAGAACCGTTCCTTCGCTCGACGAAAAGCCTATCTAGAGACAGCAATTTCAGTGTGGAAGCAAGGATCTTTGCTCTCAGAAGGACATTAAAACATCATGGAAGCTGCACTCACAAGTCCAAAGGATAGAAGAAGAGCACCAAATATTTCCCCTTAAAGTCATCAAGGCTTAGTTCTTTGAATTCTCCTTTGACAACGGCTGTACCCTTAAAATAGGGCGCGTGCTGGGTGACGGCAGGAGCATAGGATGAGGAACCTGAAAAAAAACCCACATGCATGTAGCGTTCATCATTTGCTAAATCAAGCACCCATTTGATTTTATTTAAGACTCTCACAATAATTAATTAGTAGTATAAATTAATTAAAAGCTTCAGTTCAACTGTACACCTTAGGTAAAATTTTTTTCCTTCCATAGTTCTAGATTACGCACAAATTCAATCGAAAGTGTTATGGAAACTAACAAGATGACAGAACACGGTAGGGGTAGAATTAAAATGGAATTAAGGAAGACATGAGACTGGATATGGATGCTAAATACGGTTCAGATTTTGCCAAGTCCAGATGGGACAGGGCAAATGGCATGGAGGGAGGAAGAGGGCAAGTGTGGGAATAGCCCATGGCACCATGTGATCAGAACAGAGAGAGGAGGTATGTGTGGAAGGAAAAGTGGTAGATAAGGCTAGAGCAGTTGAAGGCCATGCTGTGAGGCCCTTAACTAATCAGGCTGAAGAGTTTGTTCTTAAGAGAAGAGATGAAGGAGTCACTGGAGGTTTTCATGTGGACGATGAGTTGGCTGTTCTCAGGAAGATTAGTCTGGAAGGGAGAGGAAGGGGAGCAGGAGGAGGGAGAACCTATGTTCGGAGGTGATTTCAATTATCTAAATAAAAGATATGGAGGATGGCACGTGGCAGAGACAGCAGGAAGAAAGGAAAGGATGCAAGAGATGTGTTAGAACTAGAGGACTTGCTTCTACCTGAAGATCAAGGGACAAAGGAGATCAGGTATCAAAATGCCTGAGCCTCAGAAACCATAGGAACTATCGGGAGTGAGGGGTTTGGAACAGGTGATAAGGAAAGTTTTAAATCTGTGGCATAAAATCAGTACTAGAATTTTTTTAAAGCTCCAGGATGGCAAAATTGTGAAATGTTTTAGAACATTTCACCCACAAACAAAGGTTTTGCTAAAGTACATCGCTCAAACCATTACGTGCTAAATACATGCTTTTTAAAAGGTGAGAAAAATCTAAAGAAGGCATTTTCAAATACCAATCATTATCTGAGGCTGATATTTGCAAAGACCACATTCTAAAAATGTGGAGTGTAAATCCCCAAAAATAGCTACGCTTCACTCCGATCATGGAAGAGTCCATGGTCTAACATGGCCAACTGGGGCCGGCACACAGGTTCGAATTCGAAAGCCTCGGTTCCCAGTAGGCTGTCCACCACTCCCACATACCACACACCCCTTCATGCCACAGAAGGCATCTGAGTCACGTCCCCCACCCAAGTCTCTCAGCACAGAGGATTAAAACCTCTTGTAACCAACAAGGCAGTATGACACAAGGGCAGTTTGCATCATGATTCTCAACCCTGGCTGTACATTAGCATCACTTGGTGAGATATAAAAAAATACTGGTGTCCTGTCTCACCCCAGAGATTGACTTAATTTGTCTGGGGTGGGACTGGGGCAGTGGCATGCTTTTAAAAGCTCCGCAGGTAAGTCTTAATGTATAGCCAGGGTTCAGAGCCCCTGTCCAGAGATGATGACTCATGTTTCCATTACCTGGGTCAAAATAAGGCATAACACTTACTGGTGCTAAAGGCAAATTTTGCTTGACTGGCACCAGCCCACAATACATTTGTCAAACATGTTCTTCGTGCAGCAGCAGGCCTAAGGGCCGAAGAGGCAGAGATGCCCCAAGGAATGGCACTCACACGTCGTGCAACCTGGTAAGACAAACACTTTATATTAGGAAGTAGACCCAGAATGGTGGCTAAAGGCTGGCCTTGCTGAAAGGGCAAAAGCCAGTGGTGGCCTCAGGTGTCCTTGTTCCTGTGAACCAAATTCTAAACACCAAACTCTAAGAGTATGGATTGGGTCTCCAAGTTTTTAACATTCCCTTCTGCTTCCTTCTCTTTCAAGACTGCAAGGGGCAGGAATGAGGGGGGTGAGGTGGGCTGGGGAGATGTTGGTCATAGGATACAAAGTTGCAGTTATGTAAGATTAATAAGTCTAGAGATCTAATGTACAGCATGACTACACTGAATAATATTGTATTGGGGGCCAACCGAGTGGCATGCTGGTTAGGAGCTGGCTTGGGACGCCAGCTCTGAGCATCAGGGCCGGGGTTCGGATCCCACATGAGGGCCAGTGACACTGCGCCCTCTACAGCTAAGATGGTGAACAACAGCTTGACCTGGGCTGGGCAGCTGTGAGTTGGTGGCCACGGCATAGGGTGCAGTGGGGCTGGCTGGCAGCAGGCATGAGCTTTTGTGAGCTTTCATGAGCCGCTGTGAGTGGCCGTCCAATGGCTAGCGAGCAACTGTCTCACCCAGGAAGAGTGCAATGATAATACCAACATGGGCCAGTGAAGCAATGTCCTCCACAACTAGACTGAAGAACAAAA